CCGAGTTGCCTTCCAATTGGCACACTGATGTTATGGATATATCAATGTTACCAATGTGAGTGCGACTGTAGGTTAAATGCAGTCTCATTCACTAGCAATGTGCGAGACATGTCCCAGGTTTTGACTAGCGCTGTATGTGTAATGAGGTTAGATGGCGTAAGAGCACAAGAAGCAGACGGGCTGGCATAGCAGCAAAGTAAATCGCAGCAGCTTTGTGTGGCTAAACCTGAAACGCTGCTTTGGTAATAGCACTACTCATGAAACTAGGCCCATCTGACAAACACAAAATTAGACGCAGCATCTAGAATTCTTGGAAACAGAAGTAGCTTTTAAGCTTTGCATTACTAAGTCACGGTCCCAATGACAACTTCCTACAAAGAAATCTTTAAAAACAATTTCCAGAGACAGACAAATAACTATTTAACAATAACAAGCCCTAAACATGCAACATACACTCACCGGCCACTTTATTAGGTACCCCATGCTAGTAACGGGTTGGACCCCCTTTTGCCTTCAGAACTGCCTCAATTCTTCGTGGCATAGATTCAACAAGGTGCTGGAAGCATTCCTCAGGGAGTTTGGTCCATATTGACATGATGGCATCACACAGTTGCCGCAGATTTGTCGGCTGCACATCCATGATGCGAATCTCCCGTTCCACCACATCCCAAAGATGCTCTATTGGATTGAGATCTGGTGACTGTGGAGGCCATTTGAGTACAGTGAACTCATTGTCATGTTCAAGAAACCAGTCTGAGACGATTCCAGCTTTATGACATGGCGCATTATCCTGCTGAAAGTAGCCATCAGAAGTTGGGTACATTGTGGTCATAAAGGGATGGACATGGTCAGCAACAATACTCAGGTAGGCTGTGGCGTTGCAACGATGCTCAATTGGTACCAAGGGGCCCAAAGAGTGCCAAGAAAATATTTCCCACACCATGACACCACCACCACCAGCCTGAACCGTTGATACAAGGCAGGATGGATCCATGCTTTCATGTTGTAGACGCCAAATTCTGACCCTACCATCCGAATGTCGCAGCAGAAATCGAGACTCGTCAGACCAGGCAACGTTTTTCCAATCTTCTATTGTCCAATTTCGATGAGCTTGTGCAAATTGTAGCCTCAGTTTCCTGTTCTTAGCTGAAAGGAGTGGCACCCGGTGTGGTCTTCTGCTGCTGTAGCCCATCTGCCTCAAAGTTCGACGTACTGTGGGTTCAGAGATGCTCTTCTGCCCACCTTGGTTGTAACGGGTGGTTATTTGAGTCACTGTTGCCCTTCTATGAGCTCCAACCAGTCTGGCCATTCTCCTCTGACCTCTGGCATCAACAAGGCATTTCCGCCCACAGAACTGCCGCTCACTGGATGTTTTTTCTTTTTCGGACCATTCATCCCAGTAGATCAGCAGTTTCTGAAATACTCAGACCAGCCCTTCTGGCACCAACAATCATGCCACGTTCAAAGTCACTCAAATCACCTTTCTTCCCCATACTGATGCTCGGTTTGAACTGCAGGAGATTGTCTTTACCATGTCTACATGCCTAAATGCACTGAGTTGCCACCATGTGATTGGCTGCTTAGAAATTAAGTGTTAACGAGCAGTTGGACAGGTGTACCTAATAAAGTGGCCGGTGCGTGTAAATCTCTCTTTTAGTTCCATGCACTTCTCTGCATCTTTGAATCTTAAGTTTATACAAGCGTTTAACAAAGCTACACGTCGTGTGAGGAGAACAGTCGAGTAAAGTTAAGCAGCAGTCATGTATGAGGTTAGCAGTATTACAACTACTGTAGCAGTTGAGTAAATATTTGACAAGGAAAAAAAAGTCGCTTACAAGCAGAAGATATACAAATAACAGATATCTCCAAGCTTCTCAGTTTACATTGTAAAACATGCAGCACGGATGCATTCCAACACACAGTATATATAGCAATGTTCAGACTAGTCTGCACTAAAGAGAAACAAAAGGGAAATGCACAAGGTGGTTTTAAGTCAACCTCTTGAATGTAAAACTATTTAAGCATGTGTTACTGTAAAATCTCACTGTTAAACGAGGTCTTCAGCAAGTATCTCAAAAGTTGAAATGGCTCTAAGTGACTTGAGAAGCTCAGGTAAAACCAAGAGATAAAAATCTGAAAATGACAATCATCAATGCTCTGCTATCATAGTTTCAAGAACTGATATATAAACCTGAATAGCCTAAAAGTTAACCAGCTAAGAAACAAGTACAGGAGTCGTACTTCATTTCAAAGCTCCAAGTCTGAAGCTGTGTTTTTCAACACTTACCATAAGAGGAGTTTAAAGCAATAAGAGAAACAAGGTTTCCTTCAAAGATTTTCTTTTTCACAGAAAACCCCCAAAATAAAGCATTAAATATGTAAATTCCTAAAAGTACCTACATTTTAAGTACAACTTCATTTTTGGGTACAATATTCTCTAGAAGCAGTGCGTTGTTTCTTATTTTGACTTATTCTGTTATTAGGATTAATCAACTGATAACATTTGACAAATTCTGACCTTTTATTTAACCAAAGGAAAGCTAACTTCGGGTCCAGCTAGTGACCAAGAGAGCTCCATGTAGATGAAACCATTAGCGCCTGTTTTAAGAGTGAATGTACTGAAAATTCACAGTACATTTTTTAGGATCACTTCAATAAGCTGAAATTTGTGAAAAGAAACATGAATGTAAATCAATTAAAATTATAAACTACAGAGAGTTTTTCGGATTATACATAGCTCCGAATTCCAAAGCTCCAAGAGCTTCATAACTGTATTTTCAAAGCCCCTGAACTCTTAAGATGCACTGAGCACCGCAGCAACAGGAAAAATATAAACAGTTCTTCAGAAAGGACTAGGTCAGAAAAACACAACTTCAATAATAAATCAATTCAGACACACAAAAAAACCTGAATATAAATATTGATGCACTTCATAAAGGCAAGAGTTGAATTTCAGTGAGTTTCCAGAGAACATTTATCTTGTAAGAGAGGATTTGTTCAAGTGTTGAGGAATTTGAGGCGTGTTGCGGTCTAAAAACCTTTCGCATCGGCAGTTGAGGCAGGATTTCCTGAGTTACTGGAACTAGTCATGGTACCAGATGCAGACAAGTTAGAACTTGAACTAAAGGTAGTAGATTTCTTTTTGGGCGGGTTCTTCAGAGTTCCTGTGCGCTCTTTAACTTTGTATTCCAGAGTGCTGTGTGGCACTCCATAAACTCCTTGAGCCTTAGAGACACTCATGCGGCCAGCCATCACCATGGTGATGGCTTCCTCCATCAGTTCGTGGTCATACTGCCGGTATCTTCCTCGTTTCTTTCTGGGTTGTTTGTCTTTATCGCGGCAGCCGTCCTCTGTTTCATCAAGTGAGGATCTGCGTGGTCCAAGACGATCAGGTAACTGGCTGGCGCCATCTGAACAGCCTTGTGCTAACAGAGGGGATCGTAGTTTGAAGAAAGATAAAGGCCTGGGAGATGCTGAAGATAAACTGGCAGTACCCTCGGTTAGTGAGGTACGCTGGCGGAGATGATCTGCCATGCTGCCCGTCTCCGCTGACACAGCTCTGTTGTGATCAGACAAGGAACGAACCTGAGGAATCCGGAGAGTTGTAGGTGATCCCAAACTGGGAGATGGACTTGTTGGTTGCAGGAGGGCATTCCTGAGCTGGAGAAATCTTTGAGGGAAGGCCTTTTGATCACTGCTTGGCTGATAGAAAGCTAGAGTAGATGACGGGAATGTAGAATCCGGGTTTTCTTCTGCTCCTCCCCCAATTTCTGCTCGCTCTGCCCAAGCTGCCACCTTCTGCAGGACGAGACGGGCTTCTCCGCCTAACGTAGATGACATTGCTCCGTGAGAGGTTGTCTCATCCCTATAGTCCCTTTCACCTTGTTTAAACTGATGCAGCACATCCAGCTTCCCATCAGTCCAGTTCTCCAGACCTTGTTGTAAGGTTTGTAGAGGTATCCCATAAAGCAAGGCAGCCCGTTGCTCCAGCAGCCTCCCTGAGCGGATATCCTTCAAAGCCTTGGACAGCAACCCCTCTGACAGCTCCCAGCTCCTCTCAATGTACTCGTTCATCTTGTGCTGCCTCCTAGGGATGGGAGGACCAAACAGCAGGGTCAGGATGGTGGTGATGAGGGGGTTTGGCTTAAGGGAGGGACAGGGTGGGGTGAAGACCAGGGGTCCACTCCTTTATTCCTTGTGTTGGTAACATCACTGCGACTGTTTCATGTATGTTCTCAGTCTGTTTCATACACTGCTGCATGTCAGTCACACACACACACACACCAACACTGTCTTTGTTTGTAGGAAAGCTTCTTCACGTCCAGGTGGGACAGTCTGAATGGCATACAACCCCTGTAACTTTCAGATATGCAGGGACTTTTACATGTTGGTCGTAAAAAGTTCAGAAAGAAAGTTAATTCGTTGAGAGGCACTGCAATGATGTCCTTACTGTCTAATCCGGGGCTTTTTGTTAATGGTGAAGCCTTTACTGTGACGTTACCGCTCAAGAGATAAAAGAGTCAACCCCATCGAAAGACAGCAGCAAATTTAAATAAAAGCTGCTTTTTACATTGATTTGCACAAGTACTCGCACCCTTGTAATGTTTTTGTGTGATTACAACCCCAAATTTCACTCTATATTTTAATTGCAAAGTAATAAACATAATAAATGTGCAAAAAGGTTCAATAGATTTGGATACCTTTCATAAACCTTCAACAGGAAGATTCATTCAGCCAAAGAGCTACCGAATGGGTGATTAATCGTAAATGGTAATCGTGAAGTTAAAGGTAAATAAATAGAATTTTAGTATTATAGTATAATTTTTGTCTTGCATTGACTGGAAAGAAGATTAAAAGATCATCAGCACCAGTTTGGTTAAATACTCAGGTGTAATGTCTAATACCCAGGTATTTTTGAAAACCAACATTTTTTTGTCCTCATCAGTGTATCTTATTTGGTATCAGAGAACTTTAAAATAATAAACATCAAAAACTCTTACCCTGAGGCGCTGTGATTGGATGTTGATATTGCAGAGCTTGCAGAGTTCCGGTTTGAGAGATCTAACACACAATCTTTAAGGACACAAAAACAGTTTTTGATTTTAGCTTTGTATGAATTCTTTATTTTAAGAACATTCAACAGTGTTTCACATTATCTTGAGTGTAACTCACTTGTCCTGTTCACTGTGAGATCCAGGGGAGCATCTGAGGTCTCTGACAGTGGAGATGAGGGTCTTGTAATGCCATTTGTGGTGGTAGGGAGCAGGCACTTGGATGCATACTCCTCAGCAAACTGATGAATAATTTTATTCATCAGCTCCTGAGCAACCAAAGGTATCTTGGGATCACAATCCAAGGTCACATCTGAATCACAGAAAGGGTAAGATGGAGAAGAAAGATAAGATTAAATGCATTTTAGCTCACAATTTGAAAATGTCCACGATAAAGCAAAGACATGAATTCAAAGGCTACTTAAAGCTGAAAACCACACGTATTTGCTTATCAGCATATCTAAGGACTTTATCAATGATCAATTATAACATTTTTGAAAATCAACAAGAACAAAACAAGGTAGCAAGGCATCAATTTTTGACCAATGGGCACTTTTCAGGTCATGAATTAAGGAGCTTATCAATTGCTTATACACTACTCAAAAAAATTAAAGGAACATTTTGTAATCAGAGTATAGCATCAAGTTAATTAAACTTCTGGGATATTGATTTCAAAACAGGAATTATTTTACAGGTGGGGGACACTGACATTTTTTCCCCTCCTCAACTTTTCTGACTCTTTTCCACCAGTTCTGCATTTGGCTAGGGTCACTGTCACTAATGTTAACATGAGGTGCTACCTGGACCCTACAGAGGTTGCACAGGCAGTCCAACTCCTCCAGGATGGCACATCAATACATGCCATTGCCAGAAGGTTTGCTGTGTCTCCCAGCACAATCTCAAGAGCATGGAGGAGATTCCAGGAGACAGGCAGTTACTCCAGGAGAGCTGAACAGGGCCAAAGAAGGTCTGCAACCCATCAGCAGGACCGGTATCTGCTCCTTTGTGCAAGGAGGAGGAGCACTCCAAGAGCCCAAGGGTCTGGAGAAGCCGTGGAGAACATTATGCTGCCTGTAACATCGTTACATGACCGCTTTGGTAGTGGGTCAGTGATGGTCTGGGGGAGGCATATCCATGGAGGGGCGCACAGGCCTATACAGGCAAGACAACGGTACCCTGACTGCCATTAGGTATCAGGATGAAATCCTTGCATCAATTGTCAGACCCTATGCTGGTGCAGTAGGTCCTGGGTTCCTCCTGGTGCACGACAATGCCCGGCCTCATGTGGTAAGAGTATGCAGGCAGTTCCTGGAGAATGAAGGAATTGATACCATTGATTGGCCCCCCATACTCGCCTGACCTAAATCCAATAGAACACATCTGGGTCATTATGTTTCCATACATCCGACGCCGCCAGGTTGCACCTCAGACTGTCCAGGAGCTTAGTGATGCCCTGGTCCAGATCTGGGAGGAGATACCCCAGGACGACATCTGTCGTCTCATTAGGAGCATGCCCCAATGTTGTCAGACATGCATACATGCACGTGGGGGCCATACAAATGACTGAATATCATTTAGAGTTGATGCAATGAAATTTCAGCAAAATGGACTAGCCTGCCGCATAATTTTTTCACTGTAATTTTTGGGGTGTCTTTGAATTCAGCCCTCTGTAGTTTGATTATTTTCATTTCCATCTAATGATGTGGCATCCTTTAGTTCCTAATACATCATTTTCAAAGTGTTCCTTTAATTTTTTTGAGCAGTGTATTATACACAGAACCCCATAAAGTATTTTCTGCATCCTTGTTGCCATTAAACAGAGTACAATAACAATGCTTGTTGGATTTTGTTCCAGCATGCTTTAGTATCGTTACTCTTCAGCCACCTGCAGGGTGTGTCTGCTTAGGGAACAGCAGCACCCTCTTCTGAATGAAGGGGAACAGCAGTTTAACCAGGCATTATCAATAGTTTTGCACTGATGCCATTTTTTGGCCCCGATACAGATACCTGATACCTTCCGTGCAGTAATGGCTGATACCAATACCATATGTTCGAAATTAATGTGTGTGTTTATATATATACTACTAAGATGTAAAATAATTGCTATCATGGCTTTGTCAAGCTGCTGCCTACCTTTGTGAAGCAGAAAAAAGACTAATACAAAGTGAATCCAGTAGAACCTTTTATTGCCTACCTGGAATGGGTGACAATTAGGGCTTGATAAAAAAAGAAAAATGGATTCAATTGACTTCGAATCGATTCCTTTACATTTTTGCAATATCGATGTCTAGCGAATGAGATCAATTAGTTTTATAGTGACGTTCACATTCCAATGAGCAGGAAAGATGCACTCAAGATGACTTCAAGCCAGACAGCTGCAAATATAGCCAATAGGTTGACTGAAGACATTAACAAATGGAGGCTGACCAGCAAACACCCTGTAGTTGTTACAGAAAACGCTGCAAATACAGGTGCTGGTCATAAAATTAGAATATCATGAAAAAGTAGATTGATTTCAGTAATTCCATTTAAAAAGTGAAACTTGTATATTATATTCATACATTACATACAAACTCATATATTTCAGATGTTTATTTTGTTTTATTTTGATGATTACAAATGACAACAAATGAAAATCCCAAATTCATCATATCAGAAAATTAGAATATTACTGAAGACCAATAAAAACAAAGGATTTATAGAAATGTTGGCCAACTGAAAAGTATGAACATGAAAAGTATGAGCATGTACAGCACTCAGTATTTAGTTGGGCCTCCTTTGGCCTGTATTACTGCAGCAATGCGGCGTGGCATGGAGTCGATCAGTCTGTGGCACTGCTCAGGTGTTATGATAGCCCAGGTTGCTCTAATAGTGGCTTTTAGCTCTTCTGAATTGTTGGGTCTGGTGTATTGCATCTTCTTCTTCACAATACCCCATAGATTTTCTATGGGGTTAAGGTCAGGAGAGTTTGCTGGCCAATTAAGAACAGGGATACCATGGTCCTTCAACCAGGTACTGGTAGCTTTGGCACTGTGTGCAGGTGCCAAGTCCTGTTGGAAAATGAAATCTGCATCTCCAAAAAGTTGGTCAGCTGCAGGAAGCATGAAGTGCTCTAAAACTTCCTGGTATGTGGCTGCGTTGACCCTGGACCTCAGAAAACACAATGGACCAACACCAGCAGATGACATGGCACCCCAAACCATCACTGACTGTGGAAACTTTACACTGGACTTCAAGCAACGTGGATGAAGTGCCTCTCTTCTTTTCCTCCAGACTCTGGGACCTTGATTTCCAAAGGAAATGCAAAATTTACTTTCATCAGAGAACATGACTTTGGACCACTCACCAGCAGTCCAGTCCTGTTTCTCTTTAGCCCAGGCAAGACGCTTCTGACGCTGTCTGTGGTTCAAGAGTGGCTTGACACAAGGAATGCGACAGCAGAAACCCATGTCTTTCATACGTCTGTGTGTGGTGGTTCTTGAAGCACTCACTCCAGCTGCAGTCCACTCTTTGTGAATCTCCCCCACATTTTTGAATGGGTTTTGTTTCACAATCCTCTCCAGGGTGCGGTTATCTCTCTTGCTTGTACACTTTTTTCGACCACATCTTTTCCTTCCCTTCGCCTCTCTATTAATGTGCTTGGACACTGAGCTCTGTGAACAGCCAGCCTCTTTAGCGATGACCTTTTGTGTCTTGCCCTCCTTGTGCAAGGTGTCGATGGTCGTCTTTTGGACAACTGTCAAGTCAGCAGTCTTCCCCATGATTGTGTAGCCTATAGAACTAGACTGAAAGACCATTTAAAGGCTTTTGCAGGTGGTTTGAGTTAATTAGCTGATTAGAGTGTGGCACCAGGGGCCATCAATTTTGAACCTTTTCACAATATTCTAATTTTCTGATATGATGAATTTGAGATTTTCATTTGTTGTCATTTGTAATCATCAAAATTAAACAAAATAAACATCTGAAATATATGAGTTTGTATGTAATGTATGAATATAATATACAAGTTTCACTTTTTAAATGGAATTACTGAAATCAATCTACTTTTTCATGATATTCTAATTTTATGACCAGCACCTGTATGGTTTGTGCAGAGGAGATAATGCAGCTCATGCATGTCTGCTGTGTCCCCACTGTGTCACGTCTGCTTGCTCAAGTGAGGCTTCACTTTTTCACTTTTCACAAACAAGTTTGCACTTATGAGACAGTTTAGTTCACATCTCAAGTTTAAACTGTCTGATTTATAAGTTTGCACTTTGTGTTTAATGTAACAGGAAGAATTAAAATACATGAGTATTTGGAAACACAGGTGAACCACTTTCATTATTGTAAAAACGGATTGAATCCAAATAATCGATTTAGAACTGTATTAATCAAAATCGAATCGATTCAGGACTTTGGCCAAAATACCCAGCCCTAGTGACAATAGTTTAATAAACTTTTGGCTCTCAAAATGCTATCAGTACCCTATTTGTTGGTACTCGCCAATACAGATACCACCATTTTAGTGCTGGATCGGGGGCCCAGTTCGATACTGGTATTGGTATCGGTGCAACACTAATTATCAGTTCACCAGACAGAAGAAACGTTTTATCTAATGAACCATTACTTGATAATGAATAGCAAGTCAATTATTTACATCCCTATTGAGAACTGATTGGCATGAAAATGTAAGAAAAACAATTAAGCAGGACACCAAAGACTCAATTTATTAAATTAAATGCGGGTTAAATGCAGAAAAGTGGACTTTGGGCTGTGATACAAGGAACATGTTAATAAACTGACCTTTCTTATGAAAAACAGCTTGAAGGAACTTATGTGCCGATTGACTGCTCTCAGATGTGGTTGAGGTTTGACAAGGGGAGTAATCAGAGGGCGAGGAAAGAGGTGATACAGTTGCAGGTACTTGGTCCTATATGGAGAAAGACATGTTATCTTGTTGGTTATTTCTTCAGACTGGACTGTGCTGTGTGTCTAGAGAAGATATCATGCATTTGATCATCTCAACAATCCTTACACTGAGTTTGTCCAATGGCAGGTTACAGAACGAACAATGCGACACACTTGCTTCTGCTGACCAGTCATCCACCTTCTTAGGTTCACAGCCTGTCAAACATAAAAACTCTAAATTTCCTCAAATAAAACTCTGCCCATATAGGATAACCCCCAGAATACACATCCTCTGTCTTTGCTCAAGTAAATCCTGCGGAGCACTTTTGCAGTAATTTTAATCAACTGTTCCACATCCATAGCTACACCTTTGCACGTCATTGTCCACGTACCATCCAAGCATGGAGCCAAGCTATTTTTTCGCTCTGCTCCGATGGAAGCTAGCCAGGTAAAGATTCGCAATTACAAACGCACCAAACAGGAAAAAAAGAACATCGATAAAATAGGGTAACAACTGCTCGGTAACTACAAATTAGTGAATAATTCTTATATATTCCCAAAAACTAAGACGGTTAAATTTTATTACTGGGTGCAAAATATTGGTACTTCCACAAACAAGGAAGCAGATTGGTCTAGATGAAAACATTTATTTTACCGTATTTTCACGACTATAAGGCGCACTTAAACGTCTTTTTTCCCCTCAAAATGTGCGGTGCGTCCTATGGTGCGGTGCGCCCTATGTGTGTTGTAACTGCGACTTTTGAGACCACATCATTGAGGAGATGATGAAAGAGTGGCTGAATGTAAGGAGACCAGGTGTTTTTTTTCCACTCATCACCATCGCTGTTAATATGTAACTCCATGCGTGCCCATCTCACAGCTGATCTCAAAAACATGGGGAAACAAATTAACGCTGTGCTTGCTGTTATTCAACCGCTCGACATCGGTGTGAACCGGACCCAGCAGGTGCAGCAGAAGCAGCGAGTTTACATGCAAAGTCAATGGTTGACGCGCGTATAGGTGCAGCAAAAGGTCCCGCAGCGCGTTTTGAGCGGCAGGGGGGCACGTCGGGAAGCGTTTAAGCATCTGACGCACCGCCAACGCGCTGCTGCTGCTCGAGATGGAAAAATTGAAGTTTTGCTGCTGGACGCGCCGCATCAACCAATCAGAGAAGCTGATCTGGGAGCTGACAGCGAGACAGACACAGCGCTCTGATGACATATGATATTAAATGAAAAAGGCTGGATGGATGAGGAGATGATGAAAGCGTGGCTGTGCCCATCTCACAGCCGATGTGAAAAAAAAGGTGAATCAAATGAACGCTGTTATCCCGGGGGGTCTGACAAAGGAACTTCAACCGCTCGACATCGGTGTGAAGCGGCCGTTCAAAGTAAGGCTGCGAGCGGCGTGGGAGCGATGGATGACCGACGGAGACCACAGTTTCAGGATAAGTGGAAGGCAGCGCCGGGCAAGTTACGCCACCGTTTGCGGATGGATTGCAGATGCTTGGACTAACGTGTCTGCTGGCTCTGTTGTTCAAGCTTTTGCAAAAGCCGGCATTATTTCTGAGGAGCCGCGCTGCACGGAAAGTGACTCTGACAGCGAAGAAGGGGAAATTGGCATGTCTGATTTAGCGTAGCTGTTTCATTCAGAAACAGAGGATGATGACTTTGATGGGTTTGATTAATACTTTGTAATAAATACATGAATAAAGCACAATCATACTCAGTTTTGCTCCCGCTCTATTTTTCTACCTGAAAACTTAATTCAACAGCAGCCTCTGGGCGGGTCTCCTCCTCTTCAGCGCGGTGGCTGGCAGGTGTTTTTTCATCTAAATAATCTAAATCTTGCAGCTATATTTGCTGTGATCAGTGGGAATAAAGTTGTTTTAATATGTTTTTAAGTGAGAAAGTCCACCTGAAAACTTCATAATTGCAGTCAGTTCATCCAGATTATCTATTTCTGTCGGAGGCGCTCAGACCCCCACATACCAGCGTTGCGCCGACAGTAGAAATCCTTTCATCAGCAGCCTCTAGGCTGGGCAGCCTCCGGGTTCACGCGGTGGCTGCCCACCTAAATAATTTAAACTGCAGGCACCAGGATACCGGTAATAAAAGCGAACATATTCCGTCGGCAGGTTTCAGGATTTTAAGTTAATTTAGGAGTGATCACAGCGCTGTGTCATCTGCAATGTGTCTGTCTCATGGCCAGCTGCCAGGTTTGATTAATACTTTGTAATAAATACATGAATAAAGCACAGTCATACTCAGTTTTGCCCCCGCTGTATTTTTAAATACGCAGTAGAGGTATTTAAAGGTAGTAGAGGACATGTACCTGTATATAAAAAATGCGCCCTATAGTCCGGTGCGCCTTATGTGTGTGTTAAATACAGAAGTGGCACACATAACTGAGACTGCGCCTTTTAGTACGGTGCGCCTTATGGTCGTGAAAATACGGTATACTGAGAGGTTCAGGAGTTTCATCAAATCAAAGGAAACTTATTGCAGACATGGATGACGAGATGCAGGAATTTTGTATGTTCCTAGTTATCCTTATTACAAAGATCCACAACAAAAAGAAAATGAGCAAAAAAAAGACATATGCTGATGGATGCTGCTTGGGGATTTCTTATGTCATATTAAATTAAGCACTCATTACCATGTATTGTGTGCCTATGAATTAACAAATAATAATGCGCATTCTCGCATCGAGCTCCAGGGAACTCAGAGCAGAGAAAGACGGAGGAAATACAGATGCTGTAGGCTTTGCTTTATACAGGCTATCTGGAACGGAGCGGTTATGGAGGATATGGGATTTCAGGATACGCCTATATCCCATGCCTGTTTCTTTTAGTTGGTTTTCTCTTGTTACAGCAGAAATAATAGAATAATAAAAAAAAAAAAACAAAAAAAAAACCGATTGATCTGTACAGATTAAACCTTTCTACTTTACAGAAGCTGTGTAAATTCCAGGAAAGCTCAGTCAAACTGATAACAGACACTGCTGCTATCATAAATCAAGAGTAAAGGCTGTTTTAGTTTCTAATATGATATAATGCTATAATCACTGTTACTTTTAGAAAACCAAACCAGCACAGTAAAATAATGGGTTTATATGGGAGACAGGAACAATAGAGCTTTTTCCTCTTCATAAATTCCAGAATAGCTCTTCAGACTCCTCAAAACCCTGCTTTTCCCAACCTTTAAAATACATATTTAATTAAAAACGGCTAATCACCAACTTGCTTTTTCTGACTCAGGTTGTGCTACATTGAAACTAAGATGATGGCTTTTCATTAGCGAGTGCGATATCTAATAATAATCAGTGGATGTAAACCAAGGCCGTTTCTCAATAAGTGTACTTGTGTGTTTTCATGTGCTTGTGAAACGTCATCAGCCTCAGCCCTAGTACTGTTCCAATTCACAAGAACAAGAAGGCCGAGAACGCAAAAAATACATGGATGTTGTTTTTGCCACTTCCTCCCTACCGAGTTTGCATCAGAGCAGACTCGTCCATTCTCGAGATTGATAGCTGCCCTAGCATATTTCCAGGGCAGCACTTACAGAGCTCAGAGTAGTAAGTTTAAATTTCTCTTTTCTGTTGCTGTTATTCTATGAAAGTACATTTTAAGATAATTTATTCAGCTAAATATTAATTTGAGTTGTGATTCTATGCTGATTATTATTCCCCCACTAAATGAAAAAGTAAGAATTTATCATTATCTTGAGACTATTAATAACAGGAGGTGAAATGCAGCTCCAGACGAGCCGAGCGTGTGCTGACGTCACAAGTATGCCTCTTTTCCAATTGACCCAGATTTATGCTGCGTTCTCAAGTTCTCCCCAAGTCCACACTTTCCTGTGTTCTTCTCAAGAACATAATTGGATACAAGTCCATACTCGCATTCTTGTGAATAGAGAAACGGCCCTGTAAGATTTCTGTCAGAGAGAATGTTGCCAGACCACAGGACGTCAACAAGCGAGGGCCATTTGTCTGCAATGGAGAATAACCACTAAGGTATCAAGCAATGAGGTTTTCAGTTTAACACCTAATACAATGTTTTTATTTCATTTTGATTTTCCTATTTAATATCTACCTAGATACTTTTTAAGCCTAAATAGCCTAAGCGAAACGCACAAGGATTTAAAAAAACAAAAGCAAACCTGTGCTGCAAAACCTTAAAACAAATTTAATTTTAAAAAGTTGTGTTAACTGAGATTTAGGAGCAACAATGCAAAAACATAGCCTAGAGCCCTGCAAAGACAATTGCTTAAAAAGCGAGTGAAACCCTCACACCTACATACGTGTTATCCAGAGGAATAATTTTAAGAAACCTTCAAATTTTTAAATCAATGTACTCCACAAACTTGTAAAGTATGGAGATTCAAGTACATTTAGTTGTTTGACAGGGTTAAAATAATACCATGGTCAAACGCTTGTAAAGGATCAACAACCTACCCATACATAAATTAAAGTCTCTCAGCAGCATTGGGCCATAGATTTCCTCCAGAATAGTTTCAAGCCCTGCAAGACAAAAATCAACAAATTGTCATTCATTTAAACAATATATTCCTACTTTAAATGACATATTGTAATTTGTCACAGTAAATCGATAGAACGACGGCATACCGTTCTGATACGGTATGGTTAAATTTTAGAGCAACATTGCATATACTATTTTAGTAAAGCCTCTTTATCAACAATCTACATATTGTTAAAACAAAGAATGTGTACAGAATGAGTTTTATCTTTGAGCTAATATTAGAAATAAAACCAAACTGACCGTTGTCACAGACAGAGCTAGCATCATCTGGACACAACTGTGTGTCCGAGGCAATAATACAAAACAATGTTTAACATGGCGCTAAATGTTAAGTAACAGCGAAATAGAAGGTGGTATAGATTCTCAATGACATCAGCTTTATCTGCGTGTGAACAAAACATCTCATTTAAACGTTAGCTTACATCTAAACCTAGCATCGCATTAGCATAGTCGAAATATGATTGTGTCAGCAAGCAAACTCGTGATTACTACATCATGCATATGATATATGCCACAGTGATAAGAGTTCCGACACATTTCGGGTTACAAAAATACACAAATAGGAAACACCGGATAACACAACTGCCAAACTTGGACAAAGGGTTAGCTGCTAGTTAGCCAATCAGCTTCAGCTCGGAGCAGCTCTCTGCTTTGCAGGCGCTTGTCGTATCCGTTAATTGGTTTTAAAAACTGAAGCAGCGTATTTCATACCAACGCAGTGAACAAGTTTATGTCGCCAAGAATCAAGTTCCCTCCGAAACCCTTTCCTTTCTGCCAAACATTTAGCACACTGGTCCGCCATTCTTCCCCCCCCCCGTCCCGTTCAGGCGTTCTTCTTCTTCCTATATTTTTTTATGGCGGTTGTTATTGAAGTGCATTACCGCCATCTACTGGAATGGAGTACGGATAGGGACGCTATAAATAAATTCTTTGTAAAAATATTAGAATAATCAAGTTAATAAATCTTTTATTCTTTCTACCAATTTCGTTTTCTTAATGTAATTCATTACATAATAATAATATTTAGAAGTAGAAAGTTTGTCCAAAATATCTTGTATATTTTATTTTCTTGTAATCGACTAATTCCCTTCTCTCAACAGAGCATTTAGAACAGACTAACAAAACATGTTTTACTGTCTCTTCTTGAAAACAAAAATCGGAATTTCCTGTTGAATGTTTTCCTATTTTAAATAATGTACTATTTAACCTTATATGATCAAAACTTAATCTAGACATAATGGTTTCCTCTTTCTTCCTGTTCTCCTCATTGTACCAACTTTTCTTTGAATACTGTAAAGCCACCTTCCAGTTCTATCCTCATCCCACTGCTTCTGCCATATTTCCATAACCTTTTGTTTAATGATAGATTGATTTCTTATTTACTAAATGGTATAATTACATCAATATAACTATTTTTTGCAGCTCGTTTTGCATATTTATCTGCCAACTCATTTCCTTTTACTCCTATATGTGATGGTATCCACGTAAAAATAACTATTAAACCATTTCCTGAATTCTATAAATAAAAAAATTAATCTCTAATTGAAGGTCCAGTCTACTGATAGAATGATTATTTTTTATTGAATATAATGATGAACTTGAATCGGTTGTTACAGAACGAAGTTCCTCAATCCCAAGGGCGCAGATAGCGTGTACGTCAGGGGTGTTCTGACGTACACAGATTCGAATGACCCTCAATCCGTCCCCCCCACTTTTATAAAAAAAAAAAAAAAAAAAAAAACATATGGCGAAACTCACAGAAAATCAAAAAGCTTTTTCTAATTTACTGCTTTGCAACAACAACATAAAACAGTCAGATCATAGACGGGCAATCGTTTTGTTTAACTGCAGGCTGCCTGCGTCGTAGAGATTCTAATCTAACAGTTATCCTGTCTCTGGCGTTTACGTCTCGAGCCTGGTTTCCATGGTTACTCAGACAGACAGTAGTGGCGGGACAGTTCCGGAGTCCGGACATCAACATGAGGCCAGCCAAACCGAAAAAACAGAAAACAATTGCATCCTTTTTTCGAAAAGCACCAACTGTAAGTAAACTGTTCATTGCGGTATCATATCACCTTGCATTTTTTTGGTTGTCTGTTCGATGTCGCCGTGGAAAAAAGAGTGGAGACGGTCAGTGAGAATAGCGTGAAGAGAGGTGCCAATGTCATAAGGCGGGAGGCAGGGGGAATCGACTGGCATTTATTTATTTATAATTAAATCGACTGTTCCGACTTTTTCTGGAGTTGTTGGGGGTCTTTCAGAAATGTGTAGGCTACAGTAGGCTACTTGAATCCGTATTTATGCCAAGCCAAATGGTTTAGGTTGTTACAGGTTGAATCATGAGAAAAACTAACTTCAAAGCTAGACAAATTCCACTACACAGGGGCGGATTTAGGAAATTTGGGGCCCTAGGCAAAGACAGGCATGGGGCCTTCTGAATTGAGAAGACAACATATAGAACAGACCCATTATACAGATACAGAAATTTTAATAGAATAGAAATTTGAGGATGTCATGTATCTTCAAGTTTGTCTATGTCACTGTAACTCGGAGGAAAGAATCTCTCTCTCATATATATATATATGTGTGTGTGTGTGTGTGTGTGTGTGTATATAAATAAATAAAAGGTGCATGTCACAGGAAAGACTAGTGATGTTACAAATATGACAATTGCTTAAACTGCAGAACAGTAAATTCTTTAATCTATAATTAACATGGCCCTTAAAGTCCCCAGCTGTACACAATAACACACATTAAAGCAATGTTAATACAAAGCTGTAAAGTAGAGTGAGACGTTGATAATAACTTCCTTATGTTTTTTGAATGTATAAATTTAATTATAGAGGACTAAAACACCTAAAACTTATGGGTGATTTTACAACATTTAAAAGCCTGAGATTTTACTGAAATTGGGGCTACTGGGGCTCACTGGCCTTAGATGTAATGAGCGAACTGGAAGTGCTGAATACATCGCTCCAAAAAAGCACCCAGACATTGGAGGGCATGGTCTCTGCAGTCTCAGTTGTCCAAGAGAGATTACGGGACAAAAGAAAGCCAGCCCACTTTGAGGCAGTCTTTAAGGAAGCAGTGGATATGGCCTAGAAGCTGTCTCTAACACATAGGCCCCCAAAGAGATATTCTGGGCCAGCACCTGCACACAGGCCAGAATCTGCTGTGGAGTACCACAAAGTGGAGTTCTACAGAGTCCTTGACAAAGTAGACACACAACTTTCTTCATTTGAGGCCATTTATTGAAAAGCCATGTAAAGTACTTATTTACAAATTTGTTTTTGTATATATGTAGGCTTTGCTGTTCGTGTTTCTGTGTGTTTACAGCCTGCACTTAAAGTCAGTCCATGTTTAAATAAAACCTTTTTTTTTTCACACGTCATGTGGCATGTTTGGTGAGTACTTGGTACCAATACATGTTATTTTCTTGCAATGATGGGCAATTAAGATTGATGGGTTGTCATAGCTGAGTAATAGCCAGTAATAGGGCTCGGGATCCACGTTGCATTGTGGGACGTCGCAGCCATACTGACTGCTACGCAAACGTAAGCATAGCTCTGACACAACGTTGTTGTTGAAAGAAGAGACAGAAGTAGAGAGAAAAAATATGTTAAAATCCCTAAAAGGATCTGGAATTTACCGGGACACATTAAATAGAGAAGCCAGGGACCGGTATGGTGACAAAATCAGCATTGTTAATCATTTGGATCCATATAAAGTTCCAAACAATGAGTGGAGCACCAATGAGTGAGCGCCTATACTTCAAAACAGTTCCGAAGCTACAAGTCCTTGGAGTCTCATGTGCAGTTCATGAATGGATGGGTTCAGGAGCTGCACATCATAAAGCCAGCAAACAGTGGGAACACAGTAATTCGTACGAAGGTAAGCTGTGATCAGAGGGGCTCTGGAACCTGCTAGTTTAGCAACTGCTAACCGCTAATGCTAACAACCACTCACGCATGTAATGTACTTTTAACTAGCTGCTATGTGTTTCAAAGGTGTAGTTAGTAACGTTAACTGCCAACCCTCCGGGTTTCTCGCATATTTGAGCATTTTCCCGCTGCCGTTTTTATTATTTTCCCGTAAAAGATCCCAACTTTGAAGGAAAGAAACAATGTAGGCTATAAAATAAAACCGTGCATCTTTACCTTACCAGAATGAAAATGCAGGGAACACACTCTCAATGACATTGGAATACTGTGGAAAGTTATGTTCGCTCGTCTTACAGCCGCGATCCAAGCTAGCCGACGACTCTTTATCTCTGACGCTTGGTCTCCATGGTTACGCCTCCAGTCAGGAAAGCGGTGGAAAGTTAACCCATTTTCTATGTTTCCATGGCGATCATGTGTTGAGCTGTTACAGCCCACAATACAGCAACGGTTTACCATGGTTGAAATCAAGTTAAGGTGAAATTAATAAAATTAAAACACGGCTGAGAGGGAGTACAGTACGTGGTAGTCATAGGCAGTAGTCTGAGCTGCGGTAAAAGACGCATTCAACATGGCGGCGACGCGAAGTGCTTACGTCACGATGACCAAACCCTATAGTAACTGTCCCCCACAGTTTCAAAAACCTATCTGCGCCCCTGCTCAATCCACCCTAAAGCCAAGACGATCCCCATCCTCTCTCCTGCATAAACGGATACTCAATCAGTAATTGTTTTACATGTTTTAATATTGAATTCTGGAACAATGAATGACACGCCACTATTGCAATTTAAATTTTTTTAAGCATCTGTATAAACTTGGACATATCCATAGTACTTATTGTCTAAATAAATTTGTACTGAAATTGAATCTAACAGGTTTCCTTTTCTCCAACAAAGTAAAATCAACAACACTTTTAGGAAATATAGATGGATGAACTGGTGAAAAAGGAACTGTTTGACTGATATTTGTATAACATAAATCAAAGTCTTTTATAATGTTTTCTATATTCTAACCAAAATAATTTAAATTACTTTTTTTACTTTCCCCAACTAGGTTTTAAAATTTCTTGACACAGATGATTGTCATTTTGGCCCTTTAAATGACACCAATAAAAGGTCTTTAACTGTAATCTTCTGATCTGAAGTGGAAGCTCTCCCATCTCTAATAGTAAAGCTGATGTTGGAGTTGTTCTGACAGCTTCAGTACATAATATCAAGGCTTGATAGTGAATATTATATAATGTTTTGAGTAGTGTATCTGATGCTGATCCAAAAGCTATACTACTGTTGTGCAATAACTTCTTTTGCACCTGCTTATGTCACAGATCAATAAAGACCTATATTCTCTTGATCTTAAATCTGCACTTTCCTTTTTCACAACAGAACACAATCTTCATCTTTCCGCAAGCCTGTCTACATCTTAATTCTGATGAATTCAAAGATTACATTTAATTCATTTATTTATCACGTTGCATATGCTTTTACATTTTTCTAGACAAATACCCCCATATAAATGCTTCACACTGTGTAACATCCTACTTTCAAGCCCGAGTCTTCTGGAAAAAAAGACCATAACATTAATCAACTATTTACATTGTGTAAAAAATGCATTAGCGTTTTAATTATATATCACAAAACAAGGAATGATCTTACCCGATTCTTGTGCTACATTGACAAGTGATATTGACCAGTTAAAGGGGGATAATTACCTCTGTATAAAACACATTAAATCTGTACCGCTCACCAGTAAACACGATCACAGCCTATCATCTACATAAGAGAGATACTAAATGGAGAGCATGTAAGAAAATTAATGTGCTTTTATTTAATTAAAAACGTTAAAACTTACAAAGGAATTATGGTTTCAAAAAGGTCCAGACCACCAAACCGATGGTCTTCATGGAACAATAATGTCTAAATAAGTTCCAATGTTTCCCTAAAGATGGTTTGTGTAAAAGTTTAAATGTGGACACCACATAACACAATATACCTTTCCTACCCCGCTTCCCGCTTCTGAGAAGGGTATGGCGCCAACAGGACGTTACGTATTGCATCCGGGTTCTTCTTCTTCTTTGTTTTTTATTTTATTTTATTTTTTATAAGGGCAGCTTGCGAACATAGTGTGTTGCATTACTGCCACCTAGTGGATTTTTATGACCTAATTCTTAAATTCTTCAACTTTGCTTGAAAAACGAAAAATCTTTTTCTCCACTTCATTATTAAACTGTGCCCCGATATCATTAAACATCAGCCCTTTTGTAAAACTCAATTATAATTCTAAAGATTTCTTTGAATATCATACTTAATACACACAAAAAACAACAAAAAACACACAAAAGCAACATGTGATATGTTATTGTGCTATTACATCCACTACAGCAGGGATAACCAATTAAAAATCAGCAAGGTCCGAATAAAGAAAACCATCAACCAGTAAAGGTCTCTAGACATATTTAATTATAATCTGTTTCTTTAAACTGAAATGAACATTTAGATAAAATTAGGTGTTTATACATTACGTCTATGATATACATTGAATTTTAAAATAAAAATAATAGAACATTTTTCCATTTTAAAATCTAAAGTGTTTTTTGAAGTTAGAGAACAATAATTGTTCAGTTTTGTATATAAACATTTTCCTGATTCCCTTATTTTTTAAAACGCCTGAACTGAATTACTTTTTTTTTTCTGGCTTAATGAGAGCAGTGGGCTTTATGCTGGCCTGCAAGTATTAAACCTGGGTTTGAATGGAGACAAAGTCATTCTCAAGCACATATCGAGGTGCTCATTTTGAGCCTGGATCCACATTTATTTTTTATTCTGTTCAGGGTAGAAAATCCTGCTTCACAGCAGCAGGTTGAGCCAAAGTTAGTCAAAATCTGCAGGGCATTCTTCGGTGGCACATAACCCATGTATAGAGGCCTTAGTCCTCGACGCGGGTGACCTGGGTTCAAATCTGGCCTATGATCCTTTGCCGCATGTCTCTCATACCCCCTTGTCTGTCAGCCTACTTTCCATAAAAACCAGCCACTGGTGCTGTAAAAAAAAAAGAAAATTCGGGGTAATCTTTGAGCACGCCATAGGGTTAGGGTTACTCAGTAAATGTTTTAAATCAGGTTGGGTCCGGATTAGCCAGTAGGTGAGTCTGGATCGAGACTGCGGTCTGCTAAGCTGTGACCTCTGCACTACTGTAATGAGACAGAGACTGGATCCAAATAAACCAAGACAGGTTAGTGACGTTTGATTGGTTTATTGAAAGGGTTTCTCTGATAGCGGAGCTGAATCTGTGCAGAAACCATTACAACTATACCATTCAGTGAGATGTTTCCCTGTCTCGAAAAGGCGGCCATTTAGGAGACACTGGCATGATCTTATTCTATTCTATCTTCTATAAATCCCTACAAATTATTCGTTTCCTTAGTCTACTATCCTATATCCACTCTAAAGCCACAATAATAGCATATGATTCTAATGCATTTATACTTAAAAAGTTTGATGTTCTTTTTGATATCTTAATTTGTAATATAGGAATCACTACTCCTATTCCAGTTGCTTCTGTTCAGGGTCCTTTGATCCATCCACATAGAAGGGTGAATTGTTCACTATTCTTTCCCACTTGATTACAAAGTTCTTGACAGATTTCTGTTGTGTTTCTCTTCTTATAGACTGTCAGTGATCTAGCAACACAAATAGGATTCAATGATCGTGTTGGTTATAAAGCCAACAAAACTGTTGGGCTCAGCTCCTTATTGTATACTTTAAATATTTTTGCACTATTATCCCTGAAAAAAATTTCACCAATTTCCCAACAAGTTTTTAATGCCTTTTTTTTCAACTGGAAGACTTTTATTATGGCTTTTCAAATATATCCAATAATTGTCTATCAGTTGTTGTTTTCTTTTACATAGTGACATTTCTCCTGACTCGATTTACAACCCATAAACCTGAGTTGTCTTAGTTGCCCCTAAACAGATTCTCAGTGCTTGTGCTTATGTAAAATCTAGTTTCTTTAACCAAGTTTTGGCTGCAGACTCATATAGTACATATCCATAATCTATTATTGACAGGATTAGTGACACATTAATATTTCTAAAAGTTTCAAAATTTGCATCCCATGATAACCCTGTTAAATACCTCATGATATTAAGTGCTTTTTTTTACTCTTCTTGATAATATAATCTACTGTATGTGATTTTTCCAACTTAATTTTTTAATCAAAGACAAAGCCCAGAAAATAAAAGCTCCCAACAGACAGTGGCGACAGTGGCCCTGCATCCGGACTGTTTCAGAGTCATTGTGTCCCTGGAAAAGACGCTTTACCTGCACTGCCTTCTGATGGTGGCCAGGGGGACTGGTGGCGCCAGAGTATGGCAACCTCGCTTCTCTCAGTGAGCCCCAGTGCACTATGGGGCTACTATGTAGCTTGCCACCATCAGTGTGTGTGAATGGGTGAATGACTGCAAATATTGTTAAGCACTTTGGTCAAATCGCACGGCTTGAAAGAGCGCTGTATAAGTACGGGCCATTTACCATCTATTTCTTTTATATAAATTAACTTCTTACTATCTCTTACTTTTTTTTATTTGTGAGCAACATGAATTTAGTCCTCTCCACTGAAAATTTCAAACACAGCCTATACTTTCAAACTTTATCTATCCCCTCTTGAATTTTCATTATAAGATGGTTGATATTTTGTTCTCTTTTCCATAATGTGCTGGGATTTAGGGATTTACCATAAATTGAAGTTACGTCTATAAAAATGTAATTGATTATAACTGAAAATAATGTTGAACTTACCAGACTTCCTTGAGGATTTCCAATTCCTATTTCATTCTGCTCTGGAACAAGTGGTCCAACTTTAATTTAAACAGCTCTTATATTTCCTCTTTTCTATTCTATTCTATTCTATTCTATTCTATTCTATTCTATTCTGTTATCAGCTGACAGTAAAAGTTTATGCTGCCACACACCGTCTATAACTCTACAACCTCCACTAACTAATGTTTTGTATCCTGTTGATATAGAATAATGATTAGTTAAAGATGCCCATTTGCTACCCTTTTTCTACACAACCCCACCCTTGTTCCTTTTTTTCTCTCCAATATATACACAACATCCCTGAAATATTTATGCCTCACCTGTAATCTCGTCATTAAGACTTCCTCTGTTCTTCAAAATGTTTTCAGAATTTTAGATTTTTGTGTTTTATATACATTTCTGCCTTTCTTGTGTTCTTCACACAATTTCTGCCACATTTCTTCTTTTTTTTCTTTTCTTTTGTTTATAGATTATGATTTAGTCTAACCTTTCCTAATGGAATATTTAATGTTATTTTATCCTCCAAAGCCTTTTAGCCAATTTATCGGCAGTTTTGTGCCCTTCCCATATTTAACTATATTTCTATTATTTTGTTCCTTTCACTTAAACTCATGTCCACTTTTATCCAACTGGATATTCTATGAGAGTGTTTTATCTTCTAGTACATATACTTTAGCCCACTGGTTTCCTTCCATCTAAACCAGTTCATCTGAAACTGGTTTGGATTCTAGATTTTGTTTTCTCATGTCAGCATTTTCTAATATTAAAGCATTATCTATCTATCTATCTATCTATCTATCTATCTATCTATCTATCTATCTATCTATCTATCTATCTATCTATCTATCTATCTATCTATCTATCTATCTATCTATCTATCTATCTATCTATCTATCTATCTATCTATCTATCTATCTATCTATCTATCTATCTATCCATCCATCCATCCACTGGACCAAATGATACCAAAAAACACCAGGAGGGGGAGCCATTGTATTTTACTAAAGCCAACAGTCTCCATATGCTTTTACATATCTTTATTTTTTTTCCACCTTACATCATAAATGTAAGGTGGATGAAAGGGGATACCTGGGATTTTTTTAACAAGAAAAAAAAACAAAACAAAAAAACAATACAAGCAAACGACCAAAACATAATAGTGTTTGCTGTGCCATCACATTTACCCCCCCATTAATCTGATGCCTCTAAATCAGAGGTGTCAATCTAATTTTAATATCAATCCACTTTTGCGTTAACAGAGCCAGTTGCAGCAATGTTTTAAATTCGTTATTTTATTTACAAAGAACTCACTTTTCTGGTATCACAACTTTACTACAGTTTATGTATCAGTTTCATCCACTTTGCATACTTTAAAAGAACATATGGCTCTGTTTCATGACACAATGTGCCTTTTATTTTGCCATGAGGGCAGGATAAAAAGCAGCAGTGGGCCAGATTCAGCATACATGCCTTGAGTTTGACATGTGTTCTAAGAAATTGGGTGCAAAGAACATATTTCAGAAGTCCCAAAAATATTCCAGCCGTTTAATTCTCAGCATGAGAACGGCTGTTCTGTGATAGCCAAAGAGGACATCATGTCTTACTGTATGCATAATACCAAGTTTGAAGCACAATGATGACAGCATCCCCTTATTGGTACTGATCTTTATGCTCCACGTTCAGGTTAACCCAGCTTTGCATTCACTCCTACAGAATCAATGAAAAGTATTTGAAGAACATGATGGATGTGGAAGTTATTAAGAGAGGGACAGATGCTGGGAGGCTGATTAGAAAACATATCTGATCCAGGTATTAGAAGCTGTGGAGAGCAGGTAGACAAATGTGATTGCATGTAGAGCACGGAGAAGGCTGCAAGTGTCACAGGGCCAGCTGGAATTCATTGTCACGCTGACTTAAGGTTCTGTCGCTCTTGAGATGATGATGAAAGTCTGGTGGACGGAGCGTGACCAACAGCATTCAGCCGGCTGTGCCCTGAAGAAAGCGGTGATTATTTCCAGGCAGGGTCACAATAATAATGTGAGTTTTGAGCACTGAAAGCACACATATGTCCAGGAGCCATGCATGCAAGCGCACGGATAGCCTAACAAAGTCGTCTACCTCTAGCTTTGACAGGGAGCCATCAGGAAGT